TGGTGAGAGCCTGTTGTGCTGTTGCACTGACTGATACGGTTCAATGCTTCTTCACGCTGGAGGACCTGCTGTTGTGTCGCTTCATTGCCTTCCCTTATCAGCCGCCTGTTTTGCTTTGAGTGTGGCTACCCACCTCCATCTATCCCCAAGGCTCTTCCCACCACCCTCTTCTGATGACTACCCTCTCCCTACATACATGCATTCTGTAAGCTACCTCTACTCCCCAAATTTCTTCTTTCTTTCCACTCTTCCCTATCTCCTATTCCCTATATTCCTCGCAGCCTGTGTGACCCAGCTTCACAATCCGTTTCCCCTTCTAATCCCAACATTCCTAATTTCTCACCAAACTTCCATCCCCAAAGCCTTTCCCTGTGGCTCCATTTCAGCCTTCAGAAGGCAGCTTCAGTGATTTTCCCTTTGCCAATAGCAACATTGAACCTTCTGAAAATTAGCTCCCTTATTTCAATAGAATTCTTCAAATTGAGTGTTGTGGATCCTATAGGTCTTAATCTATTATTTTTGTCAAGCCCTCTCCCTGGCCTGATATTCTCTTACTCTCATTCTCTTACCAGTGAGGTCCTTCCTTCGTGCTTCTATCCACTTTAAAAATTCCAAAATGCAAAGCTGTGTTATATATTGAGGCTCATTTTATTAGCAACAAAATATTTACCTGCTTTACACAACAAATATGACAGGAAGCCTGTAATCATGATTTGCAGATCCTCTCTCACTAAGTTAGAAGAAGTGTAGTTCCACGAAAGGCATTACAGCTGCCTTTGACAGACTTCACCTGTTGATGGTTCTCAGGGGGCAGGTATTAAAGGGGACAGTTCAATGACTGGCTGTTAATACTGTTTTTGCTCTTAAGAGGGAAAAAGTAGATTACAATCCCAAATTTTTCCCTGTCAATGTCGAGGAGAATGTCTGAAAACTGCTTGGGAACTGAAACAAAGATTGTCCACCATTAGAGACTGTGGGAAAGGATTGTCCTCAGTAAAGTCACTTTAAATTCTGTTTCAGTTTGAAAGCTCCTACTTCCATTCTTTGGTTTTTATTTCTATTTCCAAGGCCTTTGGTTGTGTTCTCCCTTGGGGTCAAGCACATATCCCCTGAGAAATCTGGGGGTGGAAAGACAAGAAGATTTCAGGAAATCTCTTAGACTGTATTTATCATTGTTGTGCTCAAGTATTTCTCCAGAGAGAAGAAAATTAAGCATTTGGAAATATGCTGTTTTTCTGCCACTGTTTATATTGCACTTAAAAGCTTTTTATCCATGCCTACAAGAACAGTGACCAACTGCCATCTTCTTAAGGGAAGAGACACATCAGAAAGGGTGCTTCAGTCTGCAACGGCCACTTCTTTTACGTGGCAGTAAATATACATCAGGCTTCTCAGAAAATACATGAATACTAAGCACAATTTTTTTTTTTTTAAATGCTTTGTAATTTATTCATAACCAGGTTGTCTTCCCTTATTTGCTTGGCTCTTTCTGACTGACTTCTGGAGAAATGCCATTTTTCATTTCACTTGCTTGGATAAGCTTTGAACCTAGTTCTTGTCCATGTTACTAAATATTTAGTTCATTCTGAAACTTCTATGGTAAAGTGCAAGAAATGTTTTTAGACAAAGTCCTTTCAGTTCCAAATTGTCTTGGATGGAGGACAGATACATACATGTTCTTCAGAGGTATATCCTTCGTGGATTCTCCAGAGCTCGACGGTCCTTCTTTTTAAAGATTTATAATCCCTAATAAAAGTTTCAGTCATTTTAAGAGAATATCCGGCCATTCTCTGGTGCTTCTCTGAAGCAAATTTGGCATTTCAGATTGCATGCATGCAGTGCAACCTCTCAAAAATAACATCATCTAAAGCCTGGGAAAATCTGCATTGTAGCGAAAGCATTGAAGGAGATACTTAAGGGCTCAAAGAAAGGAAAGATACCATCAAGAACACAAGATCTATTATGCAGTTCATACTAAAGGAAGGTCTGGTTATACCTGTTTACACCATTCTACAAGTATGTTCCCATTACAGATTCAGGAAGCTAACACTACAAATGAAAAAAAAAGAAGCTACAGCTTACCTGCCTAAGCATCTACAAGAAAGGATATCATAAACAGGAATTTCCTCTGTTCCTGAAATTAATGGGTTTTCTATTCATTTGATGGATTTTTCAAACAAAAATGCCCCATTCTGTTTCTTTCTTTGCCTTGTTCTTTTCATTCTACTTCTTATTCACACAACATAAAACCATCCCATGAAACATTCACACGGATTTCTGTACTGAGTTGGAACAAGCATAAAGTAATCACAATTTATATGTTCAGCTCACCACTACTAATGGGATTCTTCGATTTTCTGGCTTTTTGTACTCTCCACCAGCAACATTACTTACTGCTTTATACAAGTTGCAAATGCACAATTCAATGGTTGCATATCATTAATCACCTGTATTTTATCAGCACATGCCAAGCAGTGTGTTTGAATGGATGTGATGCCACCAATGACTTCAAGCTGATGCATACCATGCATATGAATCAAAACACAAAACTTAACCCAAAGTATTGTGGAGAGGCAACAGGCCAGTTCAGCTTGGACTTTGCTTTCCATTATAAACCTGACTGATTCACATCCAAAATCTTCAAAGAACATCCTCTGTGCTTCAAACTTTTCATGCTTGGCCATTTGGGAATATCTTCTACAGACAACCAGAAATACCTATCAGATTCCAGGGAACTTTGAAAAGATGCCAAAAGAGGCTGTTTAAAAAGCAGTGATTTTCTTGCCTCTTTTTCCCTTCTGAAGATAGCCTGAACATAGACATTCTCATTATTAATGAGTTTTTTTCACAATGTTTTTTTTTTCCTGGACTAAGGAGGGAAAATTAGCTCTTTCCTTTCTGCCAGCAACCATGTCACCCCTGATGGTCTTGGCCAGTCACCAACCACACTAGTGTGCCTGATGCAACTGCTGTGTTAGCTTTTGCTAAGATAGACACTACCACAGCGGCAAGAAAAAAACCTCAGGCAACCCCCCCTACACATTCCTCTCAACCAAGCCATATTTGGCAGATGTCTTTTGGAAAGCATTCCCACTTAATGGAGCATTTCGAAGAGAGATTATGACTTCTCTCTTTCTGCTCATGTTCCTGGATCTGGAGCTCTGGGTCCACCGTGTAGACTGGAAATACTCAAGGGGGAGAGCTCTTCACCCCAGAAGTGACTATAAATCTCTGAAGAAATGAGTCAATTGAATGTGTTTCAATGGTCACCTCTTCAAAGCTATTTTAAGATAGATTTGGCTACCATTTCTATCAGAAACAGCAGGATCAGCTTAAAGATCTTGCGAAGGGCTTCTGGTGATAGCACTTGTCTAGTAAAAGAAATAAAAGTTTACCAGCAAAAGGGAGATTTTGCTAGACGTTGGTTCAATTTTTTTAAAAGCCTTTTGCACTCAGATATCTGTTGGTAACATGCATTCACAAAACAAACACCTAGTCTGACAAAACACAATACCTAAGAAATCCAACTCTTCCCATTTATTCTCGTAATACTGCATCAAACTTTCAGAGACAACTTCAGAGTATGCCCAGCACAACCCAGAAGAGCTGAGCTAATCCGTGTTTGCTGAATTGATCACATAGGAATGGCTTCCATTGTTTGAAGATTGTCCAGAACAGACTGTCTGAGGCTCTGCCCCCTTTTTATATTATTCACTTTCTTGAACAACCTTACAGGCAGTGCTGAGAAACAGGAAGACATGCCACTTGTCCTTCCAAGACACTTTTAAGGTTCTTATGCCTACATGAAATAGCACAAAGGACAGTCTCTTATACTGGCGTATTGTTTTGATTGCACTTAGACCACAACTCAGCAGGGCATGACTGACAGCTTTGTGTGATTAAACACATACATAGGCAAGCTCAGACTACGTGGATTCTTGCTAACATGCCTGTATTTCGGGGGAAGCCACCAAAGTGCTGAAGTCTACCAAAAACACTGTTCCATAGGGCATTCGTGGAGGGAATACATGCTTTCAGGCAAATTTATCACTGAACATCCCTCGGGGAGCACTTAAAACAATCAGCAGTGTTAGGAAGACTTGTTTTCATCTGCCCTTTTCTAAACCAGAAGCTGCTTACCCAGAACCTATCTACTGTCTCATACAGCAGTAAAAGGTGTATGTTATGAGTAAGTTATGTTATGAGTAAGTTATGAGATGGGAACATACCTGAATATAAATTCCAAGTAAAATTGGAAGCTGTGAGAGTTACTTTCACACTAGGTAACTTCACAAAAAGGAAGCGCTGTATTTTCCAAGTGTTTAAGATTCAGTGCTTACCGGCAGTGAATGAAGTCAGGAACAGGATTATGCTGGCTAAAAGATGCTGCGTCAAGATTCATGCAAATTTCCACATTGTCTCCAGCCATGATTCTCACCGCAGCCTTATTTTCATCCTCAAATGTCTGCCTTTGTAAGGATGCACACAGCAGCAACATGAAATCATCTAGGAGAAAGCAGTGGTTGCAAGGAAAAATTCAGTCATTAACTTAGGGGTAGGGAATGGTAGCGATATACTCTAATGTAGTTACCAGACTGTTTTCCCACACTTTGAACCTCCAAGACTGTGTTATCTTAAAGCATTTAACACTGATTTGAAATTTATTAATGTATTTAGGTTTTTTATGTGTCATCTATGATTTTTATTGTGAAACAAATTAGAAAAGGGGAAATAATTAATACTTTTTGATGCTGCTTCATTAAAAATCAGATGTAGAAAAAACAGATGTAGAAATTAATAATTCTTTGAATTTTTCTACTACATGCAAAGTAACACTAATATTCAGTCTCCCACAGAATATGTCAGCTTGCCACTGAAGAGTAAATAAAAGGCTGGCTTCAAATTACACTGTTCAGATGTTTTAAGCAAAGGACACGTGAACACTTTACAGCTATGTGATAAAATACTTACAGACAAGGAAGACAGGGTTTGGTCTCACAATGAAGTCTGGAAAGTATAACCACTTTATGATGTTGGAGTTGAAGTTGGCATTACCACTTCTCCATGGATAGTCTGTATGACAGAAGCATGCAAAAATGCAATCAGTACTTTGTAACAATTACTTCATCCTTTTCTTCTGAATACTTACCAATTTTATAGCACTTTGCTGTAAAAGCAAGCAGCAGTAATTGTCCGTAAAGCATAACTGTCCTCACCTTTACAAGGAGCAGGAGGGATGCCAATGCAAAGGAAGTACTGGAACGTAATGATGCACGCCAGAAAACAGCAGTATTTTGGCCAGATCTCTGCAATAGCTTTTCTTCTACGTCGATACAATACAGCAATCAGCCAGAAGGCATGAATCATGGCATAAAAATCCATTCGTTGACCAATTACATTCACTGATAGAAGAAAACAAGTCTGGAAAAAAAGTAAAGAAACATGAGCAACATTTGCAACCTGACGGCTAAGTCGATGCAACAACGACACGTGCTGAGGCTGACTGCGGGAACCCTGCGCAAACCAACACGCTAAAACAGTTTGTATCTCTCCAACAGCAACCTCCCCCATCCCCAATTTTTCCTACTCTTCTAAGAGTGTCAACTGTGTGAACACAGCACTAAAGCAGCTTTCCATCGTGTGATATCTAAAGTTACAGAATGGAAAGAGCGTTATCACAGTAGTCTGTATGTGAACTGTTTAACCGTTGCCCGGGAAGGCACATATTACATAGACATATATTTTGATAGCACTTACAGATGTGAAAAAGAAGAGGGTTAAGAATAACAACTAAAGTGTATCCTCATGTGGGTACCAGACAAAAAGAAAAGGGATTCAGACCATACAACTTCTATTGGCTATAGACACATCCAGTCAATTCCTGCAAGGCAGCTTTAGTTCTCCAGGCTTCTAAAGGCTCTGCATCCCAGCGCATTTCGGTTCTCTGGCTCCATTTGAAGTCGTCCCTTCACTCAGTGCCATGAAGCATGTTTTCAGACTTGGTGAGTAACTCACAGTGAATCATTTATTCAGTGCACTTCACTATTTTGATCTTTTCTCTCCTCAGATTAGGATGAGGTTAAATTTATTTCCCAAAGGAAACAGCTTGCTGATTAATTTTAACTCTCATGCATTCTTAATCAGATTGGCTGTGAACAGTTCACTCTGTTTATCAGTAGCAAGTAGTGGTAGTGTTTAACAGATAGGTCAAGAGAATCATTATGATTAGATTTGGGATGCATTAGCCTGGGAGTTGCCTTCTACAGATAACCATAGAAATTGTGACAAATCACTATTTCTACAAACATTTTTAAAAGTGAACAAACAAATGAGGTAAGGAAAGAGAGATGAATTTTTTTTTTGTTTTGGCAGCAATTGTTCAGCAATAGCTTGTCTTCAAGGCAGGTTCAGTTCTGATGTTTTGTGGCTGGACTGGGTGAGGCAGATAGAAGGAATCCATTAGTTGAGCCTAAACACCATCAGTCTGGGCCACTGCTGCTGGCAAACAGCCAAGCAGATCTTCTACTAAATTAGACACCTACCAGATATTTAGGATACATGATGTATCTTCAGAAAAATCCCTTCACTCCTTTGTACCTTCCTCTCCTAATTCTCTGTGTGTTTCTTGTCTACTGAAAAGTTCTTTGGAGAAAGAACTTCGTCTTAACGCTAGTGGACCAAAGCAGCAATAATATTCTCTGCAGTTCTTGCTCCTGCAGATTGCTAACAGCTATAGTAACAAGTATAAAAAAGGATGCATTTGTGCAGCCAGAGGCAAAAGAAGCTTAGAAATGTTTAGAGACAGTGGCCTGCTAGCCTCTGCTTGCTTCTGCTGCTCCTGCAGTCCCTCGTTCCCTCTGTGTGTGTGTACATGAGAAGGTATGCCTCAATTCTGTCCTTTGTCCCATGTTATAAATAAGACATACAAAGAAAAGTGTGAGGAAAACCACTACTAGCAGACAGATAGCAACTGTGACAAGAACTAACATGAGTGATGACTAAGAAGCATCCCGCTGTCAAATATAGTTCAAGCTAGTATTCAAAAATGACACAGTCAAAAGGTTTGGAATGATAGTCTGAAGAAAATGAATATATAGTGATTTACCTCCAAACCAAACTTGTAGAAGAAATAGTTTATGAAATACTTGACACAGTTTACCAGTCCATCATCCAGATGTGCTCTTGTAATATCATGGAAAATGGTTTTAGTCACAGGTGCGGTAAGGTTATTTCGACATCTGTAGTACTCTTGATGACGGTAGATTGTAACTTCAAAAGCCAGAATAGCCAGCATCAGTAAGTTATTCTATGGGAGACACAATCAGAAGAATATTAAATAAAAATCAAAACCACAAGAAGCTATACAATTTTCTGATAAGAATAAACTCGTGAATACTCAAATGGATGTTACCACAGAGAGCTTCCATGCTCCAGGATGCACTGGCACCTATTCCGAGCTACTATCATTGAAACAAAGTAAGGTTTCTACCACTTATTGGATTTCGATGAAACATACTGACATTCAGGAAATACATTTAAAGACATTCATTAAAAAAATACTATAATGAACACTAGCTGAACATAATACATAATACATAATGAACACTGGAAAGGAAGAGGAGTGAAAATGCATTGTCTCATCCATGTGCCCTCTCATGTTTCATAGCTTAAGAGATCATGCTTTTCTTTGTAGGAGAGAGAGAGGATACAAGCACACACAAAGTCATCTGCAGGGGTTCAGCTGGCAAGTACTAACTTCCTAAAACTGCAAGGATGCTGGGTAGTGCAAATGTATCCTGTATACCCTTTTAAATGAAGTCTATCTGCCAGTCTTCACTCATGCACAGCTCCTTCTGTCCCAAAGCCAGATTGACTGGGATGCAGTCTTGAGTGGCTCTGAAGTGAATTTTTTTTTCTCTCAGGAGGGAGATCTGCCCTATGCTCTAATAGAAGAGAGGTATAAACCAACTCCAAAAGTTGGTTAAAAAGACCAGCTCAGAGAAAGTCCCTCAAGAAAGCTACAATTGAAGATGAAGAGGCAATCTCTAGAGCTCTCTTCACTGAGAAATATTTGGGACAAGAATGTCCCGAGGTGGGTGCCACTGGGTTTTGTGGGTTTTTTTTGTTTGGGTTTTGTGGTTTTTTGACAAGAAGTTATTTTTGCTTCCTCTCCCTGGGCTTCCTGTTCTTGTTGAGGAGAGTTTTACACAATTCATCATAAATAGGCTCCTCACTTCAACACTGCAGACATTTTGAATGTCTGCCATTAAAGGGGCATAACAGAAACACACCAAGACTTGAAGCTTGGGACCTTCAGGTCTAGCACTAACTGAATTTCTCTATGTAGAGGAGACATTTTATTTGCTAACTCAATGAAAACTCTTCTAGAATAATTTCTAATCCTGAAGTATTATCTATTTATAGCTGTAAATCTCCTAGTGCCAAGCCAGACACTACTAGGCAATTTCACTCTCCATAAAGAGCTCTTGGGTAAGTAATTGCTCTTCCCCACATATATTAACTGTGTGAAGTGCTATGGCTAACTGTGGGAGGAGAGGCAGAGGCACTACCAGAGCCTGATAAGTTGACTACCAGAGCTTGACAGGGCTTAAAAAAAACACAGAGGTAAGCTCTCAGGGAAGAAATGAGGAATGAATATAGTTAGATCAAAACTTACTGTTGTTCAGTCAACAAATTTCTGACAAACTTAAACTGTATATACAGAACTTTGGAGATTCTTTAAATTAAGAAGAGACATTAAGAGGGACCTGGACAAGCTCGAAGCATGGCCCTGTGTGTACCTCATGAGGTTCAACAAGGC